ATCCCCACCCCTTCTCTCTCTTCCAAAGACCTGAATTTTTAGGAAATTAGCAAGCATCCTTGAGGGACTGGAAGAGAAAAATCTTCTTATACGCCAAATGAGGAACTCGGAGAACTTTTGCTCAGCCTGGTTTGAGCTGGATCGTCAAGTCCAGCTAGCCCTTCGGGGGGGCTCTCTCTCTCCTTGTCTGTAGGCTCAAATCTACGTACCAAAAAGACCCAGCCACCAACCAACAAAACTCCCTACCCCATCCTCCCTAATGACCCTATCGCCCACTTTCTCTTGACCTGTGGGAATGGAACAGCTGTTAGGATGTGGAGACCCCTCCCCCAGATTCCCAGACTAACGCAGCGCGGAAGGCTGCGGATCTTTTGGGGTGAATAGAGTTCCTACTGGTAAGTCTTATTTTGTTAATAAATGAATACTTGCTATATCTACCCCATAGCGTGTGCTCTCTTGCATTCTCCCTTCGCCTTCCTGCGTTGCGCGTCCCCCTTGGCAAGCTGCTGCCCAAGGCCACATCAGAAAGTCAAAGGCAAAGTCGGAAGGGTGTCAAACCGTGAAGAGAGTCCTTTGTTTTTGAGATGACTGAGCGGTGGAAGCGGAGATCACGTTCATCTAACGCGTCAAGCCATCCTATTGTTCATCAGGTTGCGGTTTGTGATTTAGGGCATTGGGCAAGCGCAGTGGATTCAGGCTGCCAGGCAGGGAGGGTTGTTTGTGAGTCTGGCCTATTCATGTGGGAAACTGAGGCAAGATTGTTCTGACCAGGAGTGGCAGGGAAAGAAGCATTCTGTCTCCGGCCAGCACGACAGTTCCAAGTAATGCCTTTCTCTCTAATGTGCTACCTTTCTCTCTGCAGGCATGGGGCGGGGGGGAATGGTTCCAAAGCAGTGTGGCTGCACCACTCGTATCCCTTATTGTCCGGCCGCCACCTCAGCAGTCCGATGCTTCATTCTGCTGAATGGGTAAACTCTGCCTGCAGCTGTTCTCTCCTAAGTGTTTCTCTTGAGCTAACTCTATTCAGTGGAGTGGCGAGTTCTTGTTATAGGAAATATATACCAACTGAAGTCCAGGAAAGACTTTTTTTAAGAGCGGGTGGGGGGAGCAGGATTTGAAAACCTTCCTGGGAAATGAAGCATGGAAAGGCTGCAGCACCATCTAGTGATGGAGAAAAATAAGTGCCTTTGCACCCACTGCAAGAAGGCTGCTACGGTTATGGATGGATACCTCTGCCGTGCTAAAGACGGTGCTTTATCATCAGGGCTTTGGCATCTTTTCCCAAAGGCCCCAAAATGCAGAAGGCAACACCTGGATACCTCTCTACCGTTCTGATTTTAATTCAGATTTCTAGAGTCCAGCTTCCTCAATGGCAAGATGTCTTGAGAACTTGGAGGAGGGGAACATATGTTTTTATTTTCCTCCTTCACCTCCTCTGGAACAATTGCTCCAAGCCATGGATCATTCAGGGAGCAACATTTCTGAATCTGTTGGTGGTGTCGTTTCATTTTCTTTTCCTGCCAAGTGAAAACAGCAGTAGTTGGTTTTTGCACTCAAGGATATTGGGATGTGCAAGTTCAGCCTTTTTCAAAGCATAACCTCTGTCTGTGTTTCCCTGCCATCAGCAAGCTGGGACTCTTCAGAATGATTTGGAGTTCAGCAGCCATCAGCTCTAGAGTGCCTGGCGTGTACCCTGGACAATGGGAGGGTACTTGCATTTGACACAAGGGAGCTTAGGATTAGGGTTATCCAGTGGTTGGTCAGCTGAGTAAGCTTTGTTTGGATTTTGTTTTACTTCTCCCACGGTATCCATCTGCATGTGCATTGCACAAGTAGCAGCTTTTCCAATCTAGGTGTATTGGATATCAACTCATAATGCCCCTACATAGTATGTCTTACATCCTGGGATGGCGCCAGGTTGAGGAAAACTGTACTGTATAATAATGTATTTATTATAAGGCAGTGTTCTGTCATGGAGACATGTGCCTCATCTAGTTCCTTGCTGACATTATTTGGTAGAACGGATAGGGATTTTCACCCCTAGTCACCAATTGTGCTGGGGCTCCCTTGGTATTTTGTAACCAATAGAACTTTTCTTGCCAATACAACAGTGTTTATCAGCAGGACAAAGAGACAGAGTATCTCCTGCTATGGTTGAAGGACACTTGTGAAAATCTCCATCTTTCCCTTATTTTCATGAACTGGTAACCAGAGACCCCAAGGTAGACCCAGCTTGAAGATGGCTCTTCACCAGAATGGGGCCTTCTCTGAGAATACATAATAGATGTTGCTAAGCCGCGACTTTCAGCAGCTCCAGTCAGGGTAGCCAGATTGCTAGGAATCAGAGTCCATCAACATCTGGAGAGCTACAAGTTCTCCCCCTCTAATGTAAGGAGGCTCTACCCTGGATAAATTTCAAGGGTTTGAAAAACTAGTACCTTATCCACACTTCCCCCAGAGGCTAATTGGTGAATTGGAGGATGGTCTTGCTTTTTAAGATGCAGGAAGTAACTTAGGATCAGCAGGTTTTTATTAGAGGTAGTCACAGATGTCAATCTGTAGAATTGTAGTAACTGCCTTATCCAGAGCTAATTCTTTGATCCCTCTAGGATAGTCCTCATTGCTCAGTTTTGTCTATACAAAACCCTTCCGCAACCCCTGGGCATTGCCAAATGTGTTGACTTAACTCCCAGAATTCTCCGCGGTGGCCGTAATGTCTAGGGGTTGACATCCACATATTGCAGTGAACCCAGATTGAGAAAGATTAGTCTCCATCAGTTAGTAGCTGTTCCCCAGAGTTTCAGGTAGGGATTAGTCTCAGCGAAACTTGGAAATGATAGGGATTGAACTCTGAGCCTACTTCATGCGAAGCAGAGGTTGTACTGTTGAATGATGAGGTTTCTTCTATCACATTTTAAACACTTGGAGCAGAGAGTGCCATATTACAAACTCTATTGCCCTGCTGTTGAAGTCAGAGATGAAACTACTCGTAGTTATATATCTGGGGCTGGGAATATAAATGCTTGGGTTCAAAGATGGCTTTTAAAAGATATAAAAGGTGGCTGTCTTAAAATAGGGCTTTAAGCCCATGTGGTAGCTACTCACAAATGTAGCCAGTATCGTAGCTATAGTCATTTTTAATTTTCAATGCATGCTTAAGCCTTTCCAAAAGGCAAATTCACAGAAAGGAACAGACTGGTCTGAAAAGTTGCTTGAGAGCTACCCCACTGATTGAGTTAGCAACACATGCTTAAGCTAAGATAAAATGAGATTAATTAGTTCAGCATACTTTGGAGCCCCAGCCATTGTTTTAGCATGTTGAGGCCATCAAGTTATACTGAAATATGATTGATAGCATGTCATGGGAGTTCAGGAATTGAGGGCTTACGGTGTTACATGAACCCAGCCAATTGTCTGCTTAGCCACTGTGAAAAAGATAAGATGACACAGGGGACTTTCTGCAGAGCAAGCTGTTGCCTGCAATGGTTCCTCCATAGCTTCAACTGATTTCAGCCACATGAGTGAATCCCTTCCCTTCCCTTCCCTTCCCTTCCCTTCCCTTCCCTTCCCTTCCCTTCCCTTCC